ACGACAGATTTCAGTTCAGACGGGTAAATATTGATAAATATCAAAATTTAAAAATATTAATAGAATATCATATGGTTCAGTACACAGAGTAGCAAGAAAATTACATTTACATCCATATAAAGTTTCCAAGAATTATTAGCATTAGATAATGAAAAAAGTGAACTACTGTAACTGGTTTAACAATAACTTAAACGATGACAATCTTTTAGATATAACTTTGACTGACCGCTGATGTTAAGCTTTACATAAAATTGAGGAACAGAAGGCTAACGGTTACAAAGAAGAGCATGGGTAAAGTCAATCAACCAGAGGAAATAGAATTAGAAGAAAAGAAGCTCAAGAAGAGTTATAGAGCAAATTCTCATGTTACACAAGAAAATACAGGTGCATCGTTACTAAGAAAATAAACTGGACAGTTTTGGGTGCGATTTGTTATCATTTTTAATACTTAAATGTTTGTTGTATGTTTACATTAGGACCTCAGCTTGTAATTACAGTTATACAATAAAATTTCTGAAAATTTAATGTTACCTATATGTTTTTAACTCAGAGTATACAACTGTTTAATACATTTGTTAATATAAAATTTATAATTAGTACTAGAAGTTCTAATAACGATATGGAACACTTCCATAACAGTTATTGCTTCCATTTCGTAAAGGATATAAAAAACGTTGTATACTAGTTATACAATAATTTAATAAAGAACGTTTTATTTATAGTCACTATACAACTGTGTTAGCAATACGCGTTTTATATCCAATATTCACTTGTTTATCTGTCACATATAGTATACAATACAATGGTCTTATAATGGCATATAGAATTCTAATAAAGAATAAGGCGCATTTCTTTCAGTGTAGTAACGCGAAGCAGAAGTAAGAAGACGATAAATGAGATTTTACCGAAACGTCGTCAAACAAATGGTTCTATAGGGGTATAAGTGTAAATATTTCTCGAAAATATAAACATAAATATATCGGCCACTCATGTTTATGTCGCTTGTTTCGATTATTGGAGTTGACTACGAGAGAGTTTTCTCTAACGTCACTAGCTATCAAGTGCTTCTCATTAGTAAGTGGATTGTGTAAGTCTGTGCGTCAGACAGGTTCGCCTCAACGAGAAAAGATTCATTTCAGTTCATGAGCAACAGATAATGATTTTTTGAAAGGCTAGTGACGACAGTGAAAATGCACTTAGTAGAATGACATTCTAGTCATTGTGGCTTATCTCCTCTTTATTTTTTTTAGTGTGCAAATACCTAAGTGTATAGAAGTGAACTTGCTACAAGCCTTCAAAATCGGAGCAAAGAAAATAATGGGACACTCGTTATGTTTCAATTCGCTTTGAAATCGACTGGCGAATGAATTTAATGAACTGAAATTTATGAAATAAGCAGTACATATTTTTTTCAAACTGATGAAGCGAGAATCTCGTTAATTATTATTAGTATTCATGAAAGAAGTATCCTATAATTTTAATATATAAAATACTTAGCTTTGTTTGCTATTATGATAAAATTAAAATTGATCTTCGAAAAAAATATGTGTTTAACTTGGCAGTAAAGCTCAAGCCTTAATGCCGCTGCTGGCCAAATCTTGTGCTTTACTGCCTAGTCAAACAAATAACTAATTAACAGATGAGTAATCTTATCTATCAAACTTTTATTTTAGTGAAAATAAAATAATAAACTACAGTTTAGGAATATTACTAGAGATTGCTATGATTTCAGAAACTAATTGTAAGCCCTATGTAGAAATTGTATCAGACAAAATACGAAGTTAACAATTTTATTTAAACCATAAACCTTACCTCTGCCTCTCAACCGTAGGTAAGTGTAGGTAGATATAATTTATCAGTTTTCTCGGTGTGACATTTTTTTAAGATAAGACTTGTGTACCAAAGCAACCCTTTAATGGAAAATAATTGTTGTTTCTATCTTAAAAAAATTGTTTTGTTGAGTGTGAAATATGAATCAACTAGAATGATAAAGACTATTAGAAAAATTCAAATTCGTTGTTAGAATTATCTACAAACTTCGCAACAAAATTAAATTTGGAGAGTGATTGTCTTCCAACAAATTGTTTATAGACATAAATTTAAATAGGAAGAAAACAACGCAGTTATTGTTAATTTATAAATAAACATGAAACGATAAAAATATATTCGATTTTATCGAAAAATACGCACTATAATTTCATACGCCTCTGATTGTTTATCGTCAAAAATTGGCCTAATCATAAGAGTCAGGTAAGTAGGTGATAGCAAATACCAAGGCCGTATTTAATTCTTGGAAGAAAAATATTAATTTAAAAAAAATCAAGTACAGGATTAAAACAGCACTGATTTCAAATGTTTTCTGTCAATCTAAAGCAATGTCAGCTAGGACCCCTGACATTGTGAACTGTGACAGTAACCCTCCCGAGAGCAGCGTCAAATCAGCCTTAGATTTAATAAAAAATCAACCGATTAGTTGGAAAATCTTCGGTAGTGCCGCTACAGGATGGAGTCTAGGGGTAATAGCGAGAAAGACAGGAAAATTTGTCGCTTTTGTCGTAGGAAGCGGAATCATCGTTTTACAAATTACGAAAGACAAAGGATTCATTAAAATCGACTATTCGCAAGTTTCCCAGAGTGTTGAAAACCTTTCAAAGGGTGTAGAAAACGACATATTGAAACGCTTATCGAAACGAATGACAGAGGTAATGAAATATGACAGCGTCTTGGTTTCTGGATTTGTTGGTGGGTTCTTGCTCGGTTTGTCAACAGGATAACGATGATAAAAACTATATTATTATGAAAATGAAAAAGATAATTGTTATCCCAAATACACTTCATATTTGTAAAATTTAGTTGCTTTTATTTACCTGCTTAATAAAATGTCAATAAATTTGCTTTGTTGAAACCGCTAAATCCAACACTGAAGCCAAATAGCAACAAAGATTTAAATAAAACGTATTTAAATTATTAAAACTGTATAAATTTAATAACGTTTACTATACAGGGTGTTTAGCAAAAGAAGCTTCATCAGTAAGAGAATTTTCTTTTGAAAGTAATTCACTCGTTTAACCAAATCAATCGATAACAATTCTTGCACTTCTTGGATATGATATCACAAGTGTGTAGTAGATTACGTTTGATCAGTCGATGCACAGAAGTTTGCGATATACCAGTTTGTCGAGATAGAATTCTAGTACTAATATGTGGGTCATCTTCAATAGTATTCAAAATAAGTTCATCTCTTGTATCCTGATTGCAATAGCACGAGTGTTACTGAAAAACTTGCCTGTTTCTCGAGCCCGTCTTTCAGCATTGGAAAATGTTTCTCTATGGGGGATTGCACGGTTTGGAAATCTTCTCAGATATTCTTCAATACTTCTTCTGTAGAAACTTAACACTAATAACTTGTTAACTTTGTTCCCTAAATGAAAATTTTCCGGCCATTTTCAAAACACTGAGCAAACAATTACTACAATTAATTGACCTTTTTTCCTGATCGTCAAGTTTGACGACTATATTTATAGCCAACTTTTGAATTTTCGATGATTTTAAATAACGCCGCGAATGATACGCACGAAATCAAAACAAACTGTTAAACGATATGAAGTCCCGTTCTGTACGAAAGCGTATCTTTGGTGGGAATTGCCGTTCAATCCATTTTGATCAATAAAAATGAGAAAATAAGCTTATTCTAAAGGTCAAGCTTATCCTCTGTGTAAATATGACCCTGATTCAAAAAGCGCTTCAGTTCTGAGATATACAGTTACTTTATTTTTTACACTCAATCTTGTATTGATGTATTTTTATAATGGATCTAAAAATAATAAAATCGCTTTCCTAGACGGTTTTATACAGTTTTAGATGTCTAATAAACGCGATTTGGCTTAATGTAGGTTTCTTGGGACTGAAAAATAAAAAAAAAACACGATACCTACATTTTCGTACAAAAAATTAAAAGAATTACTTTCTGATATCAAAATAGAGACAACTTTACATAAATGTTCCAATTTATAGTACTTTTCCAAATCGTACCGATTATTATCTGCATCATTTTAATCCTATAACTTCGTTTTATTTGACATTAGTGATAACTTGGATAATCCCTATTACAGAATCTAATAATAACACGATCTTAAGCTCTGTTATAGTCTGACATAATCACAGGGAATGTATTTGTAGTCGATTATTTTTTACTGGAAATAGAAAATACTTAGACTTAGAACTCTTGCTATCTTATTGTTTACAAATCGCACGAATCGCATGAATGATCATTTTAGTTTGTCTGGGTTTTATATAATATAATTATTTACTAATAAAACTTTTGATATTTAATGTTGTATTTGTTAAATTAATTGATTTTCTTTCTATAGTATTTATTTTTGTAATTTTGTCATGAACTCCTTTCTCCGCGTTAGAAAGAGAAAGAGAGATGAAGGAGAATAGAGACTACGGTTGGTATGTATGTAGACAAAAATATAGCTTCAAATGGGACTACAAGCAATTTGGAACAAAGTGAAAAGTATGACTTTTTGAAACCTTATTTTCTATAAATTGTCAGGTAGATATTTAAAAAAACCGATATGAAATTCTTACATTTATGCGGCATCCAAAATTGTCTCAGAAAAACTTCAGTCAGTCAAGCCACCATAACAAACAATCACAAGCTAGGAATCCTTAGTCAGTTTCATTCATTTAAATGTCTAAGGGACACTACTACAGTCTTTAGAGGAAAGTTCTGTAAACATGTACAAATTATTTTAATTTAAGCCATTAATTAGGACTTTGGATTTTCTTTACGCCGCGATATATCAGGAGCAAAATTCGCGATGTGTGTGGTTCCCAATGCTCTTGAGGCAGTCGAATCACCTATCACCACGATTCTAAAGTGCTGCAGGAGGTGGGGAATGTTATCGGAGTGATAGTAACTACAAGATTAATCATATTCAAGAGCCGATAGTCACCTGCTATTTAAAAGCCTACAGTAATATTTTTTTTCTAGTTGGCTATTAACTGGTCGGTGCTAAAGGTTTTTGTTTTGGTAATATGGTTTAAATCCTGCTAGTAAGTACATGATGACTCAATTAGACTGTGTACTATTTATAAGTGTTTTTACAAATACTCGATAATTGATTTTGATTAGTGTAAAATCAAGTCGCGTCGCTTTTAAAAAACTACTCCTGGAAATTTTTAACACAGAAAAGCAAGTTTATAATAAAGTTAAATCCATTTTTTTAGTGTTTGAATAGGTAGGCGATTTCCAAAGTAAGAAAGTAAATCTATTTTTTAACAATTATTCTAAGTAAATAAATGTGTCATTCTATTCTTCAAAATTGTACACATGCCGACAAAAACAAGTTATTACTTCTCTTTGCTTTGTATTCCTTCCGAATTTCCTGGAAAATTAAACTAATAATTGTAACAACAAAACGAAAACAACCTAAACTCAATATTTAGTACACCAGATCAACGCACAAAACTACTAGTCGCTGTCTGTAATCTTGATATAGTGTTTTCAATGTGTATTGGTAAAAAAATGTAAACAGTATCTCATAAAGCTAATTCTACAACAATCCGGTTTTCAAATAACTAAGATTCTTAAAAACTTGGAACCACGAAAAAAATTACCTAGAAAAATCAGTAACAACAACAACTCTGTCGGAACAATGCAAATACTAAAAGCAATATTTACAGGCTTGTTTACAACCTAGACAATTCAAATCTCGGGTAATAAAACAATTAAAATTATTCTCGACTGTCTGGATTTTCAATCTCTCTAATTTTCAATTTCCTGGCATGAATTTAATATAATTAAATCACTTGTACATTATACTTAATCGTACCTACAGATATCTTTGAAATATGCACTGTTTGAAAAAAGGAAGTAACCTTACGGAACAATTTTATGATAGTTAAGAATTTGAAGGAATTAAGAGATGTCACAATCAGATAAACAGCTTATCTTATTTTTGTAGTGAGAACAAATCAAGTATATATAAACAGTATTAGTGTTTGTGAAACTATAAGATAGTAATAGCGAGGATAATATTGTGAAAAGTATTAGTGAAAGGTTAGATACATGTAACTATAAAATAATTTCTATTTTTTTTTATAAAGTATCTTTTCATGCCCATTATAGTTATTTACGTTACAAGGCCGGGAAATGGTATATTAAAGTACAAGTCTAGATGTTTACGGACGAGGCGACGAAGGAGCCGAGTCAGGAATTTCTAGACAAGTACTTTAATGACAGTTCACGGCCGTGTATCGTACAACGTTTTATTTCATACTGTGTTGTATTAAAAATGAAATTTTAATGTTTTATTTTACATAACCTGCCCGTATGTAGGTGTTAGCGTGGTTTCGCTTCTTGTTTTATCGCATAGCTTTTGATTTAGCTCAGTGATGTAAAAACAAAAATAACAAATTTGACAGTTTGTCATCCCGTGCGTATTTTGTGATAATTTTCGTAAAAAATGGAAGAAATCGAGCTAAAATGTGCTGAAGCAACCAGTAAATTGGTGCCTACGAAGTCTTCTGCTCGTTATGAGAAGGAATACCAGCTCTTCAACGTGTGGAGAAAAACCTATAAGGTGGAAAACGGCCTGAATGAGAATATCCTTTTGGCGTACTTCTTGGATATCTCCAAAAAGATGAATCCTGCGACAATGTGGGCAAAATATTCGATGCTCAAGTCTATGCTGATGGTAAAAGAAGGAGGTGATATTTCAAAATATCCAAAACTGGTGGCTTTCTTAAAAAGGCAAGCAGTTGGTCATCAGGCAAACAAATCAAAAGTTCTAACAAGAGAAGAAGTTAATAGATTCATGAAGGAAGCCCCATCAGAAGAGTATCTTTTGATGAAGGTAAACAAGTTTAACCTTTTCATTAGTTTTGAATTAAACAATGTGCATCTT